CCGGTCGGCCGGTGGTGTGCATCCGGTCGACCGGACCGGTCGGCCGGTGGCCATAGCAAGATCCGGTCGACCGATGCGGTCGACCGGTGGAGAACGCCAGTTCGCGAAAACTCGCGGAAATTAGTTCAAAAACCTGCAAATCCAGTCCCAATTCACAAAATCTCAAGGGACAACCACTAGATCCGGGTTCTAGGTACTAAAACAAGTCCAAAGAACCCAAGATCTCCAATTTCTACCCTAGTTTTACTCAAAATCCATTTTGAACCAAAAATAAGTTTTGAAATTCAAAAAACATAGATTCAAGAGAGGTTCTTTCAGTAATCTTACCTCGAATTCTTCTCTTGACGTTGAAAACTCTTTGAAATCACTCTTGGTTCGAATCCGGTTTTGATTTGAGACACAAATGGGAGAGAGAGAGGGAGAGAGAGAGCATGAAAGTGTGTGTGAGAGAGAGAAAGAGAGAGAAACACAAGGGAAAGAAAAAGAAAAGGAAAGAAAAGAAAGGAAAAATAAAAAAAATAATAAAAGAAAAATAAAAGAAAATGACATGTGTAAAATATAACAGTCCAGAAATGCGCCCATACACACTTATGGATTAAATGAATTACTGTGAATAATTTAAATACCTTGGAATTATTTAAACTCAATTAATTACATCAGATTAGGCGTACTAATAATCTCAATTACCTTAATTAATCTCAATTAATTCTTCAGGGTGTTACACTAAGTCAGCGATCTGCTTGAAACTCAAAATCAAAATAAAATGGACAATGAAATAGAAGAAGAAAACTTAAAATTAAAAAGAAAGCATCAAAATGAAAGGAAATAAAGAAAAATAGAAACTTTGGGTTGCCTCCCATTAGCGCTTGCATTTACGTCTTCAGCCTGACGTCTATCCTTCTTTCAGTTATCACTCAATGTGATAGAGGTCTTGGAACGTTCCATAGGTCCTCCCCAATAAGGCTTGATTCGCTGTCCGTTTACCAAGAACTTCCTCCCTGATTTCTCCTCTTGTAATTTCATAGCTCCATGTGGAAAAACAGTAGCAACTGTGAATGGTCCCGACCATCTGGATTTGAGTTTGCCTGGGAATAATTTCAGCCTCGAATTATATAACAGCACCTGTTGTCCTAGCTCAAATACTCTTGGTTTTATCCTCATGTCATGCCATCTTTTAGTCTTCTCTTTGTACAACTTTACGTTCTCATACGAAAACATCCGCATCTCTTCCAACTCATCTAACTGCAGCAACCTTGCTTTCCCGGAAGCTTGTAGATCCATGTTGAGCTTTCTTGTTGCCCAAAACGCTTTGTGTTCCAATTCTAGTGGCAAATGGCACGCCTTGCCAAAGATGAGACGGTAAGGAAACATTCCCAGAGGCGTTTTGAAGGCTGTCCTGTAGGCCCAGAGTGCGTTGTCCAGTCACAATGACCAATCCTTTCGGTTCGGGTTCACGACCTTTTCCAGAATTCCCTGAATTTCTCTGTTAGAAATCTCTGCTTGACCACTTGTTTGGGGGTGATAGGCTGTAGCGACCTTATGTTTGACCCCGTATTTGGCGAGCACCCCCTCAAATTGCTTGCTCCCAAAATGAGTCCCTTCGTCACTTATTATGGCTCGTGGAGTCCCAAAGCGAGTGAAGATTTTCTTATACAAGAATTTGATCACTACCTTTGAATCATTTGTGGGGAATGTCGATGCCTCAACCCATTTTGACACATAATCAACTGCCACCAATATGTATAGGTTGCCAAATGAAGGTGGGAAGGGCCCCATAAAATCGATTCCCTATACATTGAACAACTCGACCTCCAAGATATTAGTTAAAGGCATTTCATGACGCTGTGAAATATTTCCGATACGCTGACACCTATCACACGCCTTAACAAATTCATAAGCATCCTTAAAAAGTGTAGGCAAAAAATACCCAGATTGCAGCACCTTGGCCGCAGTTCTTGACCCCCCAAATGACCTCCATATGGTGAAGCATGGCAATGATGCAGAATGCTCGAAGCCTCTTCTTAGGGAACACATCGCCTCCAAATTTGGTCCGCACCCTGTTTATATAGAAAAGGTTCATCCCAATAGTAAGACTTCATCTTATGCAGAAATCGCTTCATCTCCTGTCTGTTCATGTCAGGAGGTGCCTTGCCACTTGCCAAATAATTTGCTAAATCTACATACCATGGCAAAGAGGCTTGCTGCACTACAAGAAGCTGCTCATCGGGGAATTTCTCCTGAATAGGAATATGTGACTCAGCCCCATTTCCTTGCTCAAGTCTAGAAAGATGGTCTGCCACTTGATTTTTTGTTCCCTTCTTATCCTTGATTTCAAGATCAAATTCCTGAAGCAATAAGATCCACCGAATTAATCTTGGTTTGGCATCTTTCTTCGAGATAAGGTATTTGATGGCTGAATGGTCTGTAAAAACCGTCACCTTTGTTCCCACGAGATAGGATTGAAACTTATCAAAGGCAAATACCACAGCCAATAGTTCTTTCTCAGTAGTGGTGTAGTTCAATTGGGCATCAGTGAGTGTTCTGTTAGCATAGTAAATAGAGTGAAACAGCTTCCCTTTCCGCTGGCCGAGCACTGCCCCTACTGCATGATCACTGGCGTCGCACATCAACTCAAATGGAAGTGCCCAATCCGGTGCAACAATGACAGGAGTTGTGACAAGAGCTTTCTTCAATTCAGAAAATGCACGTTGACAGTCTTCATTAAAGTCAAATGACCTATTCTGCTCCAAAAGAAGACATAATGGCTTGGATACTTTAGAGAAATCCTTGATAAATCGTCTATAAAAACTGGCATGCCCCAAGAAACTCTGAATTCCCTTGACAGAGCTAGGAGGAGGTAGTTTCTCAATGACTTCTATCTTTGCTCTATCCACTTCAATGCCTTTTTGTGAAACTTTATGGCCCAAAACAATCCCCTCTGTCACCATAAAATGGCATTTTTCCTAGTTGAGGACCAAGTTAGTTTCTTCACACCTCTGAAGCACCTTAGCTAAAATTTTCAGGCAATCACCAAAAGAATCACCAAAAATTGAAAAATCATCCATAAACACCTCCAAAGTCTTTTCTACCATGTCAGTGAAAATTGCCATCATACATCTCTGGAATGTCGCTGGAGCATTACACAAACCAAATGGCATTCTTCTGAAAGCGAAAGTTCCATATGGACAAGTGAAGGTTGTCTTACCTTGGTCTTCTGGTGCTACAGCAATCTGGTTATAGCCTGAGTATCCGTCCAAGAAACAATAAAACTCCTTCCCAGCGAGTCTATCCAGCATTTGATCAATAAATGGCAGCGGGAAATGATACTTTCTAGTGGCGGCATTGAGCTTTCTATAGTCTACACATACCCTCCATCCAGTCACCGTTCTAGTGGGTATCAATTCATTATTGTCATTGGCCACCACTGTCACTCCTCCTTTCCCAAGAGCTATCTGAAATTGGGTATATTATCCCTGCATCCAGCCACTTTATGATTTCCTTCTTCACCACATCTTTCATAATGGGGTTCAATCTCCGCTGCTGTTCAACTGAATTGCTGCAGCAATCTTCTAACAGAATTTTATGCATACATAGAGAACGGCTTATCCCTTTTATATCAGCTATTGACCATCCCATAGCCCTTTTATGCTTTCTAAGCACCTCAAGCAACCCATTCTCCTGTTCCTCATCCAATGTGGATGATATGATTACTGGCAAGGTACTTTCTTCACCCAAATAAGCATATTTCAAGTGATTTAGTAATGGCTTCAATTCCAGCACCGGTGGTTCTTCAATTGATGGTCTAGGTGGCTTCAAACTCCTCTCAGATAACTCCAGTGACTCGAATGGTCTTCTTTGACAAACAGCAACTTGGTCGGTTTCTCTTAGTAATGCATGAGACTCATCATCAACCTGTTCAACCTCCAATTCTGCATTTGTAATATCCTCCTCCTCTATTTCCTCATATGCATTCTTAGTCAGTTCTTCCAACATAAAATCATCTAACACACCCACAGCCGAGCATTCTTCAACCTCATCCGGGAAGCGCATAGCGTTGAGAACATCAAATGTGACCTGCTCATCGTCAACTCGCATAGTGAGTTTACCTTTTTGCATATCAATCAATGTTTTCCCAGTAGCTAGAAATGGTCTACCCAAAATAATGGGCACCTCCTTGTCTGCTTCATAATCCAAGACGACGAAATCCACCGAAAAAATGAATTTATCAACACGCACCAGCACATCTTCAATTTTTCCTTCCGGATGAACAAATGATCTATCGGCAAGTTGAAGGGTGACGGTGGTCGGCCTAGCTTCACCAATACCTAGCTGCTTAAAAACAGACATCGGCATCAAATTTATGCTTGCACCTAAATCACACAAGGCCTTACCGAAATAAGTGTTGCCAATCGAACATGGGATTGTGAAACTCCCTGGGTCCTTCAATTTTGGCGGTAGAGTACTTTGAGAGATCAGGCCACATTCTTTTGTAAGTGCCACCATTTCGAACTCACCCAAACGCCTCCTCTTGGAAAGAATTTCCTTAATAAATTTTACGTAATTTGGCATTTGCTCAAGAGCCTCCACTAACAGGATATTTATGTGAAGTTGTTTCAGCACGTCAAAAAACTTCCCAAATTGCTTGTCCCGTTGCTTCTTCTGAAATCTCTGAGGAAAGGGCGGTGTTGGTTTGTTCTGACACGTTCCTGTTGCTTCGCTTTGCTGCTTCAACACTGCAGAACTTTGTTTGTTAGCGGTACTTAGATTCTGATGCTGCTGGTCTGAACTTTGCTTATGTTGTTTTCCTGCAGCAACACTAGGTTCTGCCTCATCTTGTGGTTGTGCAGGATCCATGCAAACATCCTGCCTTTCTTTCATTTGGATCGAAGAGGGCTCTTTATCCAGCTCCTTTTTCTCCTCTGGCTGCTCCAATGCTTTTTCGCTTCTCAATATAATTGCATTATAGTGATCCTTGCCATCCCGCCTAGGATTTTCTGTATTGCTTGGAAGAGTTCCCTGTGGACGATTAGTCAAAGCATTTGCAAGTTGCCCAATTTGAGATTCCAAGCTTCTCAAGGTTGAATCATAGCTCTGCATCTTAGCCTCGTTCTTCGTTATATATTCCTTAAAGAAATTCTCCATGGAATTTGAACTTTCATCGGCTTGAATCCGCATTGGCTGAGCTGGTTGTGCTAAACCCGGCTGCTGAGCTGGTCTATTATACTGAGGAGCACCACTAGGACATGCTCCTTGATTACTCTAAGAGAAATTGGGATGTTGTTTCCATCCTTGGTTGTGTTGATGGTTGTAAGCATTGTTGCGGTTGTAGTTACTCACATAACAAGCTGAAGCGAGATTCAAAGGACATTCCTCAAATAGGTGTCCCTCCTCACAATATACACAGGAGATTGCAAGGGCCTGGACAGAATTCACTCCAGTTGAAGTGTTCATAGTTTTTATCATGTTAGTCAAATTTGACACTTGAGCCGAAAGAGCAGTGATTGCATCCACTTCAAGAACTCCCGGTGTTTTCCTTGTGGGTAGTCTCTCGGTTGGCCATTGATAATGATTCGTGGCCATGCTCTCCAGAATCTCATTGGCCTCATTGTAAGATTTGCCCAAAAGAGCACCATTAGCTGCGGCATCAACCATTACTCTGGTTGGCTCATTGAGACCATTGTAAAAAGTCTCCATTTGAATCCAATGGGGAATACCATGTAATGGACACTTTCTGAGCAGTTCCTTAAACCTTTCCCATGCCGCATAGACTGACTCTCCATCGCCTTGATGAAAAGAGGTAATGTCATTTCTCAACTTGGCGTTCTTTGTCGGAGGGAAATACTTCATAAGAAACTTTTTAGCCATATCACTACATGTTGCAATGGAATCAGTAGGTAAGCTATTAAACCAAGCTCTAGCACGATCCCTCAAAGAGAAAGGAAAAAGTGTTAGCCTTAACGTTTCTGGAGGAACTCTCGGTAGCTTGAATATGTCGCTAACTTCCATGAATAACCTCAAATGTTGATGAGGATCGTCTGTCGCCATACCACTGAATTGTCCCACGGTTTGTAGCATTTGAAACATGACCGGTTTAAGTTCAAAGTGTGGGGCCTCAATGTTTGGCTGAACAATCACAGGATTTAGTCCATCAAGAACTGGGACTGTAAAATCTCTGATTGCTCGATCACGGTCATCAACCACAAACGGTCTTGGGGCTGGTTCAAGAGCATTAAGCTGCTGCCCCTGATTTAGTAAGATCCCCTGAGCGTCTTCCTAGGCCATTTCTTGTATGTGGGCAAATCCTCGCTATTCCCTTCTTCTTCTTCTCACGGTTCTTTCAATTTCTGGGTCAAGAGGGAATAATTCACGTT